TGACCATATAAGAGTTCGAAGGGCGAAAATCCCGTTGATGACTGGGGGACTTCCCGGATCGTGAACAGGAGGCCAGGGAGCATCTGGTCCCATCCCCGGGGGTCGTCCTGTACGAAGCTCCTCAACATTCCCTTCAGGGTCTGGTTGAATCGCTCAACCAGGCCGTCGGTCTGCGGGTGGTATACCGAGGTCTGGAGCCGTCTCATCTTCAGCATGAGGCATAGTTCCTTGATGACCCGGGAGGTGACATTCGGGCCCTGGTCGGTTAAAATTTCCTGGGGAAGGCCCACCCTCGAGAAAATCTTCATTAATTCCTGAGCCAGGGTAAGAGCCTTGGTGTTTCTAAGTGGGACCGCCTCGGGGTACCGGGTAGCGTAGTCTATTACCACCATTATATAGCGGTGTCCCCTCCCCGAGAGTTCAAGGGGCCCTACCAAATCCATCACCACCCGTTCAAATGGCACCGTGACAATCGTGAGGGGTACTAGCGGTGCCTTCGGGACCCGGGCCGGGGCGGTTCGTTGGCACTCGGGGCAGGACTTGCAGAAGTCCTGCACGGCTCGGAACACCCCGGGCCAAGAAAACCTCTGGAGTATCCGCGCCAGCTTCTTTTCCTGCCCCAGATGGCCTGACCACGGGTTTGCGTGTCCCAGCTCCATGACCTCCCGTCGGAACCATGCGGGGACTACGAGTTGTTTCAGCTCCCCGCCCTCTCGCACCCCGGTACCTGAAAGCTCGGTCCTTGGGCTTGGTGGTCCAGGGGCCCTTCTGGCTCCTCACAGCCGCTCGCCTGGTCCCAGGCATGTTGGAGCGAGGGGTCCTGCCGCTGCTCCACCAGGAAGTCAGGGGCCTCTTCCACCCCCACGCAGGCCACTCCTTTGTAGTTCCCTGAGGGATGCTCCCCGTTACGGGTTCTTTGGCCCTGTAATAACTGCCAGAACCCTGACCAATCTCGCCCAATTAGCACGGGGTAGGGCAGGTGGGCGGCTCTTCCCACTCTCCAGGTTCGGTCCTGCCCGCCCCCGCCCATACGAACCCAGACGGTGGGGTATGCCTTCACGTCCCCGTGGACGCATCTCATCCACACGGGCTCTCCTGCGGGCCGCCCTTGATGTTTTTTGGCAAGATTGTGAATTTGGTAGGGCCCTATTTATGAATATGTTGAACAGCACAGACCCTCCAAGGAACCTGCTATTTACCTCTCTTTACTATGAAAACCATTTATTGCCTCCCCTTTTTTTCCTGTCTTTTAACCACTTGCTGCTGCTGGAGAGGACCGTCCTTCTTATCGCATGACCACTTACTTTCAGAGCTTTTGTTAAGGAGAAAGTCAACAAGGAGAAAGCTTTTGTTGCTCCTGAAAGTCCAAGTACACTCTACACACCAGATCATGTTTTTCCACATGCTTTTGGACATCCTCAAAGAATTGTAACAGATTAGCGAGGCATGATTTCTCCCTGGAACCCATCTTCACCCCTCCATTAACCACCATGTAGTTCCATCTTGAGAGGAAGGCAGAGGCTCATGTCACCCTGCTAACACACTGCATTATTCCTCAAGAAGTCCCGTCATGTAAATTGGTAGTGGATTGAGCTAGTTCCGCAAAGACAGAAAATTCTGTTTTTTTTAGTTTCTAGTTTTTGATGTTAAAAGCTTCTTTCTTTGAAAATGGTTTCTCTTCCCTCAGGGCCTTTTCCCCATCAATCAAGGACAGAACTACACAGACATTCAACTGATTTTTAGATCTTGATAGTATAATAAACAGCTAGCAAAGCTCCAGTGTGTGCTGTACTCTGAGCCTTATGATGGGGAGAGCTACTGTTTTGTCTCCCTTCAATCACTGATTAATTCAGATAATGAACTCTAATTCTTCCTCACGACAACTGCAAGAGACAAGGAAGTGTGATCTTCCTGATACAGCTGGAGACTCTGTGATATGGAGGGCCCAGTTCATCATTACCACAGGGCAGGCAAAAGAGACCACAGGAAAAAACCCCAGTGCAGAAAGCCCTTGTCACAGTTCAGGGCATCTGTACCTGTGCTTCCCTTCTTGGCTTTCAGTTCTCCAGCTGTTGCCTCTTTTGGATGGAGACATGCATTTCTCTCCCTTCTGATGGGGTTATTTGTAGTCTGGCCACACTGCATCAGGCCTTCACTGTAGCGTTGCCAGCACGGACAGGTTGCCCTAGGACTCTTTGCTTGCTTTCTCTTCAGAGACTGCTAACCGTGTACTTGCTGGAATATGTTACCACACCTTTCTACTACTTCATTCTTAAGTGAGAAAGCACACTGTGAGGAAGGGCTGGGTGGCCCAGTGGTTAGCACATCTGACCCCGGCTCACTGCCCCTATTTCAGAATGTTAGAATTTCCTGGTTCCCAACTCCAAGCTGAAAATATTCTGGCCTCATACCTTATAGAGGCCCAGGGTCTCCTTTTCCGCCAGGTATCAGCACAAGGCCCTTGGGATGCAGCCCTGGAGGGTCTTGCTTACAGAGACTCCAAGCTCAGTGCCCTAGGCAGCGTTCTACCTGTGTGCCCCTTCAGTATGGGGTGTGGCTCCATAGTCCAAACAATACATTACTTAACAAAGAGTCCAAAAGACTCAGGGTTTTGTCAACCCTGATGGTTCTCATAAGGGGTGGTGGTTGGAGAAAGCGCTGTCTGGGGCCCTTACCTATCTGTGTTTCCCCCTCAGGCTCAAGCGTGTCTCAGCTTCCTGGGGAAGGATTCATTTCTCCTTCGTCTGTCCATTACCCTAAGCTCCATTTAACTCATTCCTCCAGCCGAAGCAGGCTGGACAGGCCCAGAGGATTGGGGTTAGCTGGGCCCATTATTCTCCTTCAGGTGCAGTGTGGGGCTTGTATACCTCTCTCTCACTAAAAACAACTGAAGAACCTATACTCATACTAATAAGCTTACTAGGATTCACCCCAACTCTTATATGGATTCTGGCAAGTGCAGTCTTTTAATACCCCACTGTAGGAGCATCCTTGTCATAAGTTCATCAGAGCTTCAACTCAGAACATGTCACCCATAACATGTTCAGTTTCCCTCTTAAACTGTTCAAGGATCTTAAAACTGGAGTTTAGCAGGTAGATTGTATATAAAGGGTCTCTCTCCCCAGGACATATCTTCAAAAATTTGGCTGTGAAGGGGGAGAATTTATATTCCCCTCTTTTCTGAACCCTCTTTGAGTAGAGCTAGATAAATTCATGGAGGGTAGGTCCATCAATGGCTATTAGCCAGGATGGGTAGGAATGGTGTGTCTAGCCTCTGCTTGTCTGAAAATGGGTGACTGAGGATGGATTACTTGATTTCCTGTTCTGTTCATTCCCTCGGGGGCACCTGGCATTGGCCACTGTTGGAAGACAGGATACTGGATAGGGATGTGATCAGATATGTGGTAAGCGTGATGTTTACCAGTTGCTGCTTACCAGCAACCGGTTAACTGGCAGCCCAGCCAGGCTGGAGAAACCTTCTACCCACAACACAGCGGTCTCGGCCTGGCCTGGATGGAGCAGCCTGCAGTGTGGCAGGACTGGGTGGGCTGGAGCAGTGCTCTCCCCTCCAGCCCCATTGGGCTCCCTCACCCAGGGGATCTCGGTTAAGAGGTTAACCCATTAAGGGTAGCATTTATTTGGCTAACTGGGATTTTACATCCCTAATACTGGGATGGAGGGACTTTTGGTCTGACCCAGTATGTCTGTTCTTATGTGCTGAAGCCATTTCCAAAGGAAATCCACCTCATGCATATTGTTCCAAAACCAACACTGAACTTCCGTGGCTTCCAGAGAGTTCTTTCATCATGCCTTGCTACTAAAGAAGTTGCCAACAACAGTGCTTACCCATTTGCATTACAATGAACTTCCAAGGTATTAAACCCAGTTCAGTAACTTTATTCAGTTATCCTTCTATCGTGTAAGATACTCAGTAATACAGAAAGAGCCTGCCCTGGCTCACTGGTATTTCCACAATGCCAGGGCAGTGTCCTTGAGCGTTCTCCTCTGGGAGTGGCCATTCCCATGAAGAAGGGATGGAGGGAAGAGAATGAAGTACATTCTGAAGCTGCTCATCTAAAGTGTTGTTTGTGTTTGAGGTTTCTGAGCCAAAACACCATGCTTGCTCCATTAGAAGCTGCCTAATCAAAGCAAATAGGGAAGCTGCTGGGTCTTTATTTATTTTTTCCTCCCTACCCCCATAGCTCTCATTATTTCTGTTTCCCTTGCTATCTTTATGTTACCATCTGTTCTCACATGGGCATGGGCATGTAGGTCTGTTCCCACCAGGGAGAGAAGAGGAGTTGGAGGCTTGCCTCTCTAGACTGGGAAATAAAACGGTCTGACACCTTTGTTGTGGCAGCTCCCCCTTTGCTTGGTTTCTCTTTGCCATGAGGCACTAAAAATTAATGATATAAAGGAAATGTGCCTGTTAAAAGTAATGGATTCCCCCAGCGTGAGCTAGGGGGACAACTTTGCAGGAGAGACTCCTTGTCAATATAAACAAAACAAGTCCCTACACCTAAAGCTAAGGTTCCATGGATTTATGGCTGAAGGACCAGTGTTCTTGGCCTGCCTCCCTAGGGCAGTTAATTGCACAGTAACAGTCATCTGTAGCATATAGATTCATTTTACTGGGTACAGGCAACTTGCTCCTTGGGCCTGTCTTTTGAAAGGCTCCATGACTGTCTCCTCACTGCTGTCAACACATGTTGGGCTGAGTCTTCTTGCTCCTCCAAGAGCCCCATCCACCACCCCTTTTGAGGCTGAGCCAGTAGATCCATTTTGAATTTCTGCCTGGGGAGTCGAGGCTAGAAGGCAATGACAGCTTGGAAAGGAGTGGTTAGGCAGATAGTAGGATGGTAAAAGGCAATGGTTCCCAACCTTTTCAAGCATACAGGCCCCTGTTCAACCTATTACAATTTTATGGACACCCCCCAAAAAACCCAATATAGCTGTTTTCAAACATTTAATTACTTGATAATGCGGCAGCCAGCACGTACCTTGGCCCATGCTGCTTCCTCGGCTCCTGCCCCCTCCATGCCCTGCTCATCCACAGAGGATACGGCAAGGGGGGAGTGTCATGGCCAAAGACAGCTCCTGCCCCAGCACTCCACCCTTGGCCTGGCATGGAACCGTGGAAAAAAAAAAGAGGAAAAGTGAGGATCAACCCACTGCAGGACTCAGAGGGGGAGAGGGCTGGAGCGTAAACAGCAGTGCAGCTGGTGGCAGGAGCATGGATGGTTGTGAACAGCAAGCTCCGGGCGAGAACCACCTGGCAGAAAGTCCCAGCGGACCCCCTGCAGTACCATTCTAGAGCACCAGGGGTCTGTGGGTCACAGATTGGGAACCCCTGGTATAAGGGACATAGGATGTCACTCCTGATGTGTGTGATCCTGACTCCTCGCTAAGGAGGAGCAATTCTATGGAGAGCTGTTTTCCCAACAGATCTCTTTTTTGCAGATGGATAACAAAGAAAAAACAAGGCATTTCAAGGGCCACTGTTGCGCCTGACCGCTCCCTCAGCTCAAAATAATCAGAACAGCCTCCGTGCCAACTCCAAAATACCAGCTCTTTCCTGAGGAGACTCCATCGAGAGAGTGAACATAGCTATAACTCATCTTTAATAATGCTACTTTTTAAAATAAATCATGTTTTATGGATCTAAACTTAGCCTCTCCAGATAAGTGAGTCCCGGGGCCGCTGATGATTAATTTGCAGCGTCGGAGCGTTGCCCAGCGGGGGCCTGATTAATAGCGATGACATCATGACTTTTAAACATTCTATTAATGCTGAGGCCTGTGACAAATGGAGACGGTCGGCACGGATTCCAGGGGCATTTTCATAGTCAGAGTGAGGACTCTTAAAGGGGTGGATTTTCTCCTTCTTAGACTAGGCCAGCAAGCAATTGGGTGTCTCCTTGCTAGGCTATCCTGCTGATCTGAAAACTGGGAGGGTAATGCACTCTGGTTTCTTACATTTTCTATTAATGCTGAGGCCTGTGACAAATGGAGACGGTCGGCACGGATTCCAGGGGCATTTTCATAGTCAGAGTGAGGACTCTTAAAGGGGTGGATTTTCTCCTTCTTAGACTAGGCCAGCAAGCAATTGGGTGTCTCCTTGCTAGGCTATCCTGCTGATCTGAAAACTGGGAGGGTAATGCACTCTGGTTTCTTACATTTTGAGCCTGCTTGGATCCTCCGCCCTTGATCCCCCCCCCCCCCCCCCCCCCCCCCCCCCGGCCTAGCCTCCTCTCCTTTTCACTATCACATACCCCCCGGGCTGAGGCAGCTGCCTCTTCAGTAGCAGCGCCTAAATATCTGCATATGATGGCCCTCTTATGTTTCTCAAATGCACAGAGCATATTTTATTATCTTAAAGGCCAGGCAAAATGAGTGTTCGTAAATTCGTAGCCTCAGACTAACAGGATTTGAGCTAGAGAGAAGCTTCCCATCCAGTTACACATACCCATGAGGAAAATGCTTATGCACTTTGTATCACAGAAATCTTTTCCTTCTGCTGTCATCAGCTGTGAAATTCATCATGCTTTATGAAGACAATCTATCCCTTTTCTCCAGCAAGTCAGCTGCCTTGCTTATGCATTCAGAGCCTTTGCTTTTTCTCTCTAAGTGCTTTTTATGCATGAGGAAAGACAGGAAATCTGACATTCAAAGTAAGGTCTAATGGTTGAAGTAGTGCTGATGGATCAGGAGGCTCTATTTCTGTCATGGCCACTGACACTATCGCTTGATCGCACTCCTCCCTGCCTCAGTTTCCCCTCTGTTTCAGCAATGAATTGACATTTGCATTGTGCTTTTGAAATCTTTGGAAAAAAGGCAACAGAGGGTAATTCAATTTTAGAAACAATAGTGGAGGTCAGGGGATATATCATGCATTCAGTAAGGTTCAAGGATTTGTTTAAGAGAATACTTGAGAAGAACATTTCATTGGTCTAATAAATAACCTTTAATCCAGAATCTCAAAGCACTTTATAAAGTATATACATTGATTCTTATTAGTCCTTGTGGGCTTTAGGTCTAAAATAAAGCAAGTTCCCTTCCCCAATGATCTTACCAGTCCATCATAAAAAGATAATATAATGAATAGAGGAAACACCAGATGAAGGCAGGGATTTAATTGGGAAACAAACAAGAGGAGACAGGAGAATATCAATGGGACATTTTATGTTCCTTTGTGACTTTTCAGCAGTGCAGTGATTGAGTATAAAAGCCTCATGTAGTCACACTCATTATTCCCATTTTATAGTGGGGAAAACGGAGGCAAGGGGCAGTGAAAGGACTTTTCCCATAGTCACTAGTCATTCAACATAAATTGGTGTGGAATTGCTGGCCTGTCCTGGAGATAGCTATTGCTACAAGCAGCTAGAAGGGATCTCGGTGGGCCCCTGGTCCGATATTTGGAGTTGATGATATTGGGGTTCAACATCTGCCTCCTCTCAAATATGTGGTTTGAGATTTACCCTGCAAAAATGATGCTGAGCTATATGCATGGTTTTTTGTTTTTTGTTTTTTTCCCCCCAGAAGTAAACACTAAAAATAACTAATTTTAGCCATTTCGAAATTTCAGCTCTCTTTTTCTTTTTCAGCTTTACTGTTGCATTATGTTCCTGCATTTGTAGCCGAGAAGTTAAATAATACATCTAAAAGTGCAGAAAGCTGAATAATGCAGCTCATAGCTTTCCCTGCTCTGAGCCAGAGAACACACTCTGAGTTGACAATTGCAACAGAGAGGAAATTTTGAACAAAAGTTTGAGAATTATTTTTTTTCTTTCTCTTTTGCCTAAGAACCAAATTATGTGGATGACATTTTAGGCCCATAACCTGGATGTTATCTTTGGCTCAGACCCTTCTGTAGCTCCTCCCATCAAAGTTATATCTCAGGCTGGGCCTACACTGAAAAGTTAGATTGACATAGGGTCTTTGGTTAGCAGTGCAAAAACCCCATACCTCTGGCCAATGTAGTGACACTGCCCTAATTTCTGGTGTGGAAGTAACTATGTCGAGAGAATAATGCTTCCATTGACATAAAGAGCTTCTTTCCTGAAGCTGTGTTTAGTACAATAATAGTGAGAGGATCCTTTTCATCAGTGTAGGCAGTGTCTGCACTACTAGGTTACGTCAACATAGCTTTGCAGGTAGTCTCTGCAATAGAGGCATAGCCTAAATCTTGCCAGGTCTGCTTCTAAAAGAAGAGAGACCTCCTCAAGTCATGAAAGTCCTTGTATGTGGGTTCTAAGGACTTAAGACAAGAAATACCAATAATTTTTACAGCGAGTCATGACCGAGCACCAGATCCCTCTTGAGGAGATACACAACATAGACTCCTGGACATCTGTAACCATCTGTCCTTAGCATGGTGGCTGTCCCATTGAACAAGGTCATTATAGAACTCTCTAGGACAGTGTGTCACAAACCTGGGCACTCATACTGGTCAAGTAATCTGTAGCCCTTGAGAAGCCAGGATGCACATCCTTTTTCTAGAGCAAATAGTAGTCTGCATAGCCTGCAATGCGTTCCTCCCACTAATGTGGTCCAGCCATGTCCAGAAAGTGTCAGACAACATGACATCTGTCTTCTACATAAACTGGATGGAGCAGGATATTGTGTCTATGCACAGGGGAAGGAATCCACATAAGTGTAGACAAATGGACACTGCTCGTTACAAATTGCTGGTGTTCAGGCACATGGAGCTCATGCATACCCACATGTTGGAGACTACACGTCTTGAAGAACCTACTGTTACAAGGGAGTAACTTGTGTGTCTCACTCAGATTTGTAAGCTTTTGGGGATGGGGACCATATTTTTGTTCAGTTTCTGTATAGCACCTAGCTTATCGTCTGGTCCTTGAATGAGACTCCTAGGCAAAACTCCTGGGCATTACACTACTGCTACTAATAATTTGCACAAAAATAACCAGGAAATTTCAAAAAATTAATTCAGAAAACCTTATGTATTTAACCTTATTTCCCACAGGCCATGGGTTTATTCCAGTTAGATCTGCTTGCCTATGGAAGAAAGAGTTGTGTGTAACCATTCTTTTCCTAAAGTCTCCCCAGTGGCTGTGTGTGACGGGGGACCCCGCTCCATAGATTCATAGACTCATAGATTCATAGACTTTAAGGTCAGAAGAGACCATTATGATCATCTAGTCTGACCCCCTGCACAGTGCAGGCCACAGAATCTCAACCACCCCTCTTAGAATAATCCTCTCACCTATATCAAAGATATTAAAGCATTCAAATACTTTGAAGGACCCAACATGCAGAGAGTCCTTCAGCTGTGATCTGTGCCCAATGCTACAGAGGAAGGCGAAAAACCTCCAGGGCCTCTGCCAATCTACCCTGGAGGAAAATTCCTTCCCGACCCCAAATATGGCGATCAGCTAAACCCTGAGCATGTGGGCAAGACTCACCAGCCAGACACCCAGAAAGTTCCCTATAGCAACTCCTATCATCCCTCCATTGACCTATTTCCAACTGATAATGAATGGTCAATTAATTACCAAGATCATGTTATTTCATCCAACCATCCCCTTATCATAGAATCATAGAACTGGAAGAGACCCCAGAAGGTCGTCAAGTCCAGCCCCCCGCTCTAGGCAGAACCAATCCCATGCTCCTTCCTCTCTTCGTTAGATGGATCCCATCTCTTCCTAACAATCCTTGCGCCCGGAACAGAGTCCCATGGTCGAAGAAACCAAAGCCCTCTCTGCGACACCACCTGCGCAACCACGCATTTACATCCTCAATTCGACGATCCCTGCCCAGTCCTTTCCCTTCAACAGGGAGGATGGACGAGAACACCACTTGCGCTCCAAATTCTTGGATCCTTCTTCCCAGCGCTACATAATCTGTAGCAACCCGCTCAAGGTCATTCTTGTCCGTATCATTCGTTCCTACATGGAGAAGCAGGAAGGGGTAGCGATCTGAAGGTTTGATCAGCTTTCTAAGCCTCCGCACTCAAGCCCAGGGAAACCACCTGGTGCACGGGGCAGAGAGGGCCCTACCCATGCAGCCCTACTAGGGCGGGAGCCGCTCGCCGCTGATAGGGCCCTGGGTCGGGGCCCGGTGGAGAGGGAGGGTCCAGGTCCCCCCACCCCAC